GTTCCAGGGGTTTAGGGTTGAGGAAACCGTACTCAAGGAACATGGTATTGAATAACGGGAAGCTCAGTGTCCTGCTGGGAAGTATTGGGGTATTACGAGAATAAGGGACCCCGAATATAGGATTCCCTTAGTATAGATACCCCGAATTTCGGAAACCCCCAGATAGCTCACCCCTAAACCCTAAACCCCAAACCCCAAACCCCAAACCCCAAACCCTAAACCCTAAACCCTAAACCCTAAACCCACATGATTTTCCAACCCCTTGCCACCCGAGTCGCTACTGGATATGGCTCAACATGGATTGGAGCTAGCCACTGGATTGGCCTGTTGAGCCCAAGGGCGGCGAGGCCATGAGAAAACAGCAGCACAAAAAAAAGCGTGCTTAAGGGGAATGATTTCATAAACAGCAAAAACGAAGGGGATTCTTGAGGGAACATAACCCTAAACCCTAAACCCTTAACCCCAAACCCTGAACCCTGCCAAATATGGGAACTTGGCTTCCTTCTGAAATACAAGGGCCTTTTTTTGCTCTCAGCGCGAGCCCTCTACGAGTTTCGAGCATCCGGCGATTCGCCCTGGCGGGTGCCAAGCGATCATGGAAAGGGCTTAGGGCTTAGGGCTTAGGGCTTAGGGTTTAGGGTTTAGGGTTTAGGGTTTAGGGTTTAGGGTTTAGGGTTTAGGGTTTAGGGTTTAGGGTTTAGGGTTTAGGGTTTAGGGCTTCCAGCCGTTTTGGCGTTACTTTTCAAGTTTAAGGCTTAGGCACCCAAACATCGCGGCCGCCATTCTGGTGGCTGCTTCGCAGAACGCCAGGATTGAAACCCTAAACAAACCCTAAACCCTAAACCCTAAACCCTAAACCCTAAACCCTAAACCCTAAACCCTAAACCCTAAACCCTAAACCCTAAACCCGAGAGTCTTAGCGAAAAGTCGCCAGAGATCGGCTCCATGGGACTCGGAAGGGCTTGGGCCCAAAAGGACCCATGGAGCTTTGCCCTGAACCCTAAACCCTAAAGCCTAAACCCTAAACCCTAAGGGTTGAAGTTGAAGCTCGGACTTTGCGAAGAGGTTCACCAGGCTTAGTATTTGCTTGGGGTCTTGGGGTGACCACCCTGAAAACTCTGAGCCCCAAAGCCTCTAGACCCCAAACACCCTAAACCCGACACCGAACTCTCTGAACCCTAATAAGCCTAAACCGAAACCTTCTGAACCCTCTGAACCCTCATACGCCTAAACCGAAAACCCTCTGAACCGTGATAAGCCTAAACCCTAAACCCTAAACCCTAAACCCTAAACCCTAAACCCTAAAAAGCCTAAACCCAAAACCCTCTGAAGCCCCCCCTGCACAACCCTCGGAAGCCTCTGAAGCTATCGAATCTTGTGCTTCCCCTCGCAGTGTCCTCCCAGGTCTTTGTGGTTTTAGGCTTAGCTTTTAGGGTTTAGGGTTTAGGGTTTAGGGTTTAGGCTTTAGGGTTTAGGGTTTAGGGTTTAGGGTTTAGGGTTTAGGGTTTAGGGTTTAGGGTTTAGGGTTTAGGGTTTAGGGTTTAGGGTTTCGGGCCACGGGTTGGGGTGACCTGGCCGACTCGGAATTTTAAGTGCCCTAGGTGATCTTGTAAAGGGATGGAGAGACAAAGGGGTTGCTTTGGGTACGGAATTCCCTAGCCAGGGCCAGAAATAGGTATGCCCCTGCGGCTGGAATGCGCAAGGGGCAGAAGGCACGATCCCAGGTCTCGAGACCGGCCCTCCAGTTGGGTCTATAGGGTTAGGATGTAGGGTTTAGGGTTTAACTAGGGTTTCGGTGTACTTTAAATGGCCATTCATGTAAAGGAGGTTCCTGAACGATCAAGAGAAGAGCGAAGATCTCGACCGCCGCAGAGCAAAGGGGGCTTGGTTTGGCCACCTCGGTACCTAAAGGCCTCTCCGACGTACGGGGACTTAATTTGGGTCCCCTGCTATGTAACCCTGATATACACTATACATAACATGGGTCCAACCCTAAACCCTACACCCTAAACCCAAAAGGCCCCTCCTCAAGCAGCGACGAGGGAGAAGAAGGGGAGAGGGAGAAACAGAGGGAGGGCCTAGGGCTTATAGGGCTTAGAGCTTGGGGGTTAGGGTTTAGGGCTTCGGGCTAGGGCTTCTAGGACCTAGAGTTTAGGGCCTTAGGGTTGAGGATTTAGGGTTTAGGGATTGGTAGGCTCTTGGGCTGAACGAGGGCAGGCTAGCGGCACATGTTGTGGGCCTGTTTGGGTGGGCTTTGGTCGCTGGCAGCGCGTGTGTACAACGGTTCCAGTGTAGGGTTTAGGGTTTTAGGGTGCAGGGTTTAGGGTTTAGAGTTCAGGGTTTAGGGTTTGGGGGATGTTGAAATGGGACCCAGACAGGGCATTCAACTTCGCATGCTCAAACTTTGGAGACGAGGAGCCTGGGTTTTTGGATGAAACCAACCTCGACATCGCTCAACTACTTCACTGAGGTACCCTATGTAACCCTCAGACCCCTGGTCTATACTTCCCTTAGAACCTTGAACACATACATTTTGCAATATTCCCTTGGGTCTTATATAAACGAAAAATAATTTCTAAGGGGGCTATAGTAGTATCTACCGTATCCCCACGTAGCCCTAAACCCTAACCCTAAACCTAAACCCTAGACCCTAGACCCTAAACCCTAAACCCTAAACCCTAAACCCTAATGGAGACTGGATGGACACCTCGATGGCGCAGTTCAGAGCTTGCCAGAGCTGGCGGGAACCGCAATCCCCGGCCCAATGGAGACCTGAAGCCGGCCATCGACCAACAATAGGGTTCAGGGTTTAGGGTTTAGGGTTTAGGGTTTAGGGTTTAGGGTTTAGGGTTTAGGGTTTAGGGTTTAGGGTTTAGGGTTTAGGGTTTAGGGTTTAGGGTTTAGGGTTAGGCTTTAGGGTTTAGGGTTTAGGGTACTTCAATTTCGCATGCTAGGACAAATCTTTCAGCGAGCCAAGAACATGTCTGGCAGTCAAAGATCGCGGCTTGGAAGCTCGTCGGACTTCTTTCTCATCGTCCAGCACTGTTTGCGGGAACTTCCGCCTCAGCCGAACGAGCAGTATCCTGCTAGTATAGAGATCTCCAACACTGCATAAGTCAACAGGGAGGTATGGTAGAATACCGCAGGGGTAGTGTAAAGTGGGTAGCACAAGATCCCACAACTGCCCATCACCTTGGTTGCTATGCAGGAATGGGCAGCCTCCCCAGCTTTAGGAGCGTAAGAGGCTGGGGTTTAGGGTTCAAATAAACTGGACTCCGATTTGCGTATTGGGAAGGTTTATGAATCTACAATTGTCTAATGGAGGGCTTCGTGACGCATTTGGGGCTGTCTTGGGGTCTCCTTGACTTTGGCCGGGTACCAAGATGGGCCCATTTCAGCTCGACTCAGTTAAGGCTGATATGGGCAGCAGAGGGAGGCTAGAGGGGTGGTTTGATTGGCACCCGCAAAAATGCATGTCCGCCTTAAGCACGTGGATGCAGAAGCAAACTTCAACATGCTACACAGTCATGAAGATGGTTAGACTAGGAGATGCCAACATGGGCCGCAAAACAAAAACAAAAGAAGCAGCGGCCTTTGAGATCACGATATGCTTGATCTCGCATATTGAAACATGCTCTTGCGCCTTCCCGACAATGTGTTGCGACACGGTGCAGCTCTCAGCCAGGTCAGGATGTTTGGGGTTTAGGGTTTAGGGTTTAGGGTTTGGGGTTTGGGGTTTAGCGTTTGGGGTTTAGGTTTAGGTTTAGTGCTTATGGTTTGGGCTTCGGGGTTTAGGCGTTTGGGGTTTAGGGTTAGGTTGAGGGTTTCATCGGGATGAGAAGCCTTTGGGGATGCTTGGGGTAATCTGCCCAGAGGACGATGGCGTGCTTGACACATGGCAACTTACCACCCCAAGCCCGGCCATGACCCGCAACGTAAGGGGGACGTGAAACTCCACTAAAAAGGTTTAGGGTTTTGGGGGGTTTAGGGTTTTAGGGTATCTAGGGGTTTTAGGGTATTTAGGGTATTTTGGGTATTTAGGGCAACAACGGCTCGAAGGTTGTGGGTGCTTTGATGGAAAGAAGCATTGCGCTGCCTCTCGAAACCTGGGTCCTGTTCTTGGAAGCCTGTTGACTTAGTAAGTAGGGTAATTAGGGTATTTAGGGTATTTAGGGTATTTAGGGTATTTAGGGCATTAAGGGTATTTAGGGTTGAGGGAGTACGTCCTCGCCATCGCACGGCTCACGTAGCGCACACTGTGCCATTCCGTCGGGTGGACAGCATTCAAATTTCGAGAGCCCCTATTGTCATTGACAAAGGGCGACTTTGCGACGCATTGGCCTCAACGTTTAAAGCTACAATGACAATGACTGAATGGGCAACTGGGCAAGGTCTGTGAAAAGCTGGAGGATGCGAATGGAAATGGGCAGGGGTGCGTCCGGGTGCGTTGCATCCCTAAACCAACCCTAAACCCTAAACCCCAAACCCTAAACCCTAAACCCCAAACCCTAAACCCTAAACCCTAAACCCTAAACCCTAAACCCCCAATATGGCAGCATGGGGCAGTGGCGAGCCATGGGATCACAGCAGAAGCTGCAACCATATGGGCTGCCTTGTAAGGGGCTTAGGGTTTTTGAGAGTACGTAGGGTTTATGGGGCTTCTATAGGGACGACTGGGAGATGGACTGGTAGCTTGTGTGTGCTTCTGAGATACCTTCATCTACAGCTGCATACTTTGTGTGTGAGGACCCTGAAAGATCCGGTTTGGAGGCCATGTGCCATCTACGCGGAAGCTTTGCTCGAGATTTTTCTCAAGAACTGCGGGGTTCCGCCTTTGGACCTGGGGCATTCTGGGAGTTATGGTGTGGTAGCACAACTATACAAAGGTTAACCGAGGTGCGCAAGGGGATCCCGGTGAAACGGCAGGGGCTCGCGCATCTGCTCGCGTTCTGCAACTTGGCACCGCCCGAGATTTGCATAAGCAACGACGACGACAGGGTTCAGGGCATGAAGAAGGCGTAGACGGGGAAGTCCATGCCATCCAGGGCCTGCCGCTCCCAGCGGCAGCCCACCCCCAGGGGCTTGCCCGTCCGGGGGTGCACGGGCGCACGGCGCTGGTAGGTTTCGCCGGCAATGCAGATCGTGCCTTCACCCCAGCTGGCCGGCTTCCCGTGCTTGAAGACCTCCCTTGGAGCACGTTTACGAGCCTGTCGCGTCTTCCCTCCTACGAATAGCGGGCTTGGGATTTGGGCACAGGGGGTTCCACAGGCCTTAGGATGCTTAGGGTGGAGATTTTCAAAAAAAGAGGCGAGTAAGAAGGGCCCAAGGGCAAAGCCTGTCAAGCCCTTCTACGACGAAATGCTCCGGATCAAGGCAGAAACCTTTGCCGCCGGAGGCTCTTGGGAAGGCCCTGTTCTTCTGCATCCGCGTCCGCCAGCTCGGAGGAGCCCGCGCCGTACTTGTCCACCCAATCCTGAGCGGGCGCTCGGCTATAGCGGGAACGGGGCGACTCACCTGTTGCAAGCACCACTCACGCTTGGGGCCCCACCTTGGTGACCGTATAGTAGTTGCAGCCCAAGCGTCTGGAATGTAAATGTTGGACACAGCACAGCAGATGACCTCACCTGCTTGGTGGTGCTTGCGCACCTCCCTCAGCCAGTGGCAACACCAGCCTTCGCCGGGACTGCAAAAGACCCGGCGGCGAACCGCCCCCTGAAAGAACTGCAAAAAAACTATACTGATCGCCTGACCTGTGCAACTCCCATAGGGGACCTCACTCACTGTTCTGTCCGAGCAGCATGGGTACGGTTTGCCCTCTTCTGGCTCCTGAGAGGTTTGCTTCCGAGCGTGTGGATGAAAATTGCTCAGCACCTTGCCTGCCCACCCGAAAACACACGATTGCACCGGTCTGCCGATTCTGAGCCTCGGACGAGGGAGGCGCTCCTGGAATCCACCGTCGACCGCCACTTGGCGTCACGGCCCTCCATTGGCGGCACGGGCACCATGTCCCGGCCGCAGTCGCTGCTGGGGTGGCTCCACCTGCCATCGTCGGCGCTGTGTCCAAACACGGGGTCCTCGTCGAACCACACCGTCGCCGTGCCTGAAAACCCTAAACTTAGCACTGGGACGAGTTAAAGCTTGACATTATACGCGAAAGAAAGGCAACGCGAGGTAGGCTCCTTTGTGCAGCATTTTTTCAAGCCCCTCTCCGTCTCCGACTCTCTACTTGGAGGTTCAAGGTACTTCTATAACGCCAATAGCAACTGCACTTATAAGCCCCCTACAAGTCTTCTAAGTAGGTGATTATAAGTAGACTTATAACTGGGTTACAAGTATCCATGAACCTCCAAGTCTTAGATGCCCCCCACATGCGTAGCAGTCCCCCACATGCGCCCACAGCTTGCGAAAAACGCGCAAGGATCCTTGGAAGCTGCGCCCGAGTTATTTGAGGTCCCTGAAAAAAGGAACTGTTATAACACTTTTCCTTGTGAAATGCGGGCGAGGGGGCTGCCGTATTCAGCACGCTTCAGTGAATTCAGCTTCTCCATGACGTGGTCGTAGGCCGCGCCTCCCGGGACGGAGGCGCCGGTCGTCGGGAAGAGCATCCGCATGCACTCGCAGCAGTTGTAGCTGTCGTAGAAGGTGAACACCAACCCCGTGCCGGCGGCGGCTTTGCATTGCTCCACGAAGCTCTCGTCCGCTCGGAGCGCCTCGGCCGCGATCTTCACCAGCCACCAGGCCCTTGTGGCCTCCACCGCTTCCAGCAGGAAGCTCCGATCGGCCCACAACTCTTCGGACGCGAGGTTGAGGGCGAAGCCGTCCTCCTTCACCGCCGCCAGCACCACCTCCCTGTCCCCCTTCAGCGCCTCGGACGCGTACTGGAGGGCCCCGCCGCTTCTCTCCACCGCCGCCAGCACCACCTCCCTGTCCCCTCTCAGCACCTCGGGGGCGAACTGGAGGGCGTTGCTCTTTTTCTTCACCGCCGCCAGGACCACCTCCCGGTCATTTCGCAGGTTCGCCGGGGCGTTGAGTAGGGCGAGGAGGGCGTCGCCTCCCCGGATCTCCTCCAGGACCCTTCGGCGGGCCTCCCGCGGCGAGGAATCTTCTATACACACATTCACACACACACACACACACACACACACACACACACACACACACACATATATATATATATATATATATGGTACCCCCCCCCCATATGCCCACACTTTTCCTCTCAGGTGCCATGGTAGGGTTTAGAGGCTTAGGATTTCGAAGCCTCCTAGGGCAGCGAGCACGAAAGCGCTCTACTGTACCAATGTTTTAGGCCCAAAAGAGCAAAAACGCTGTACTGTCCAAAAAAACAATCTTTTTAAGCGAAAACAAGCAAAAATGCTGCACTGTCCCAAAAAAAATCCCCCCAAAAAAGTTTGGAGACCTCCAGGCCCTGGAGGAGCCCAAGCTCTCCAAACTTTGTTTTTTCTGTTTCTTTAGGGATTCGTATTGGTTTAGGCTCATGTTCATTTAGTAGGATTCCTATTAATTCTTGTTAAAGGAATCTTATTCTGTTCATAGGAGCCCTTTTAGTTCCTATTAATCTTAAGAAGAATCCTTCTCATTTTAGTAGGATTCCTATGAATTACCACCGCGTTCTTTTTGATTTGTTAAGGTTCATTCTAACAGGCTTCCTATTGGCTGTTCTCCGAAAACAATTTGATAGGATTCCTATGAATTCAATGAAAGATTCATACTTATTTTCATAGGATGCCAATAAAGTTTCATAGGGTTCCTAATTATTTTAATAAGGCTCTGATCGGGTTCCTATTCATGTTAATAGGCTTCCTATTAACTTTTTATGCAGTCCGATCAATTTTAATAGGAAATAGAGGATTCCTATTTTCTGTTTGTCAGATTCCAATAAATTTTCATAGTTTGCCTAAATATTTTAATAAGGCTCCTACAAATGTAATATGATTCCTATCAATTTTGAATAGGATTCTGTCATTTGAATAGGGTTGCCATAGAATTTAATAGAATTAAGGGTTCTCATTCATGCCAAAGGGTTTCCTCCTCAGAGAAATAAGATTCCAACAAAAACAAAATGAATCCTGTGAACCCCATTAAATTTGATAGGAACGCTATTCACATGCATAGGATTTCTATTTAAATTCATAGCACGCAATCCGCAATCTCGAGCAAATGGTTCAGGTCACTTCTGCTGGAGTTTTTATGGGAGTCCCTCCCCACTTTAACAAACACCGCGCATGGCGGAACGTAGGCGCATGGGGGGGGGGGGGGGTAGCATACATATATATATATATATGGGACCACCCCCCCATTTTTCAGAAATCTTCAGTGTCTGGGCACGTAGACCTTCAGCGCCTTTTAGGGTCAAAGCAATTGAACCGTTTAGAGCCCTACAGGGCTGTAGGGTTCTGACCCTGAACGGTTCAGGAGTTCAGGCATTACAAGCATAAGGCAGCTGCCTAGATGTTCAACCCTAAACCCTTAAACCTGAACTCCACAGTATTTGAAGGCTAGGGCTTAGATTTCATTGCCGGCTTAGCTTTAAATGCCGACATCTCAAACCCTAAGCCTGTCAACCTTAACCCGGTGGGGCTTAAAGGTTCAGGTTTAATCATACAGGGTCTCGGGGCGTCTCTTCCAAACCCTAAGGCCTTAGGGTATAACAGAATAAGCCTTCAAACAAAAACAGGGAGGGGTGGGAGGGGTGTTCAAGGGCCCTGGCTATGTTGGAGGACCCCCCCCCCATAACGGCCAGCCCGTCCAAGGCGCACGCACGTCCGCGTCCAAGGTGCCCACAGCGTTTCCCGCGTCCAGGCCGCACACACGTCTTGTTTTCATTGGTTTTTACCAGGTATTTCGAAGCTTTCGGATTCCGGAAACTTTCTCAAAAACAGCTTTCTTGGGTTGAGGGTGGCTGTTCAGGGCTTTGAGAGCGCGTGCAGCTTGGAAGTGCCGCGTGCTTCAGGGTTTAGGCTTTAGGCTTTAGGGTTTCGGGCTTAGGGTCCAGGGCTAAGCGTTTAGGGTTTAGGGTTTAGGGTTCAGGGTTTAGGGTTCGGGTTTAGGGTTTAGGCTTTAGGGTTTAGGGTTGAGGGTTTAGGTTTAGGGTTTAGGGTTTAGGGTTTAGGGCTTTAGGGGTAAGGGTTGAGGGTTTTGGGTTTAGGCTTTAGGGTTTGGGCTTTAGGCTTCAGGGTTTAGGGTTTAGGGTTTCGCGTTTAGGGTTCAGGGTTTAGGGTTAATTTCAGGGATCTTGGCACCCAAACGAGCCCGACGCTCGTTTGGGTGCCACGAGAGGCTTTAGGCTTTAGGGTTTAGGGTTTAGGTAGGGTTTAGGGGTTCACGGTTCAGGGTTCAGGGTTCAGAGGTTTAGGGTTTAGGGTTTAGGGTTTAGGCTTTAGGGTTTAGGGTTTAGGGTTTACGGTTTAGGGTTTCGGGTTTAGGTTTAGGGTTTAGGGTTTAGGGGTTCAGGGGAAAGGGCTAAGGGTTTTGGGTTTAGGCTTTAGGGTTTAGGCTTTAGGCTTCAAGGTTTAGGGTTAGGGTTTAGGGTTTAGGGTTTAGGGTTTAGGGTTTAGGGTTTAGGGTTTAGGGTTTAGGGTTTAGGGTTTAGGGTTTAGGGTTTAGGGTTTAGGGTTTAGGGTTTAGGGTTTAGGGTTTAGGGTTTAGGGTTTAGGGTTTAGGGTTTAGGGTTTAGGGTTTAGGGTTTAGGGTTAGTTCCATTGTGTAATAAATCTTTACCAATATTCAAATAATTATTTGTGTTATCATTTGATAAATTGTAATATTGAAAGTTCCCCGTAATAAAAATATTATCTATTTGAAATTTAATAGAATCAAACATTGTATGATATTTTAATTAGAAAACACTTGCAAGTCGATCATATGTGATTGAAACAAACTAGAACACAAATTTACTAAAAATAATAAACACCAAAAAACGGAAATATTTGAAAACATAGGGTTTAGGGTTTAGGGCTTAGGGCTGAGGGCTGAGGGTTTAGGGTTTAGGGTTTAAGCTTTAGGGTTTAGGGTTCAGGGTTTAGGCTTTTGGGTGGCACGGGTCGGAGAGGGTTTTTAGGGTTTTTAAGGCTCAGGGCTTAGGGTTTTGGGTTTACGGTTTAGGCTTCAGGATACAAGAACACTCGGCCCTGCGCAGGTCCCCAACGTTGCGCGTGCACCTTGGACACAGACGACGCGTGCACCCTGGACACGGGCCGCGCGTGCAGCTTGGAAGTGGCGCCCCCGCACCCCCCGTTTATAAGTAAACTTAAGGCTTAAAAAAATGTTGTGTGACAACGGCTCTTTCCAATCAAGATTGAGGACAATGCCTGACTCTTAAAGCCTAAACCTTTAGAAAGTCAGGGGGGTGGGGGGGGTGGGTGGGGGGGGGGGGGGTGGGGGGTGGGGGGGTGGTGGTGTGGGGGGGGTGGTGGGTGGGGGGTGCGGGATGGGGGGGGTGGTGGGGGGTGGGGGGGGGGCGGGGCGGAAGGGGCGAGCATTGTCTCATAAAACTAAACAGATGAGACAACCATGGATCTGTGGAGGCCGGGGGGTAGCATGTATATATATATGTACATATATATATATATATCTCTCTCTCTCTCTCTCTTTTCAGAGTATAGGGGGATTCTCCCTCAAGTATCTCTGCAGGGCTTTTTCGGGGATTCTCATGGACTTTCATGGATTTCGAAGGAAGTCGTTGCGGGGATGGCCTTCGCAAGAGAAACAATGTTTCGCCCGATTCGGGGGGGGGGGGGGGGGGGGGGGGGGGGCTCGGGATCTCGGGTGCGGCGAGCCTTAGAGAGCTTTGATAAAAAACATCGTGGCTCGCCTGATGTGAACGCAAGAACTTCTGGCGGCGTCCGTAGAATTTTGGAGGGCTTGCCCTACTTCGGGCTATTTCGGGGACCCCAACAAAGGCTTCGAAAGTCAAAGAGCGGAGCCTCCTCGCTGGCCGACGCGGAAGCTTCAGAAGCTTTGGGACTCCCCCGCCCGGCGCCTCGCGAAGAAGACCCAACACACAAGGTCAGAGGATAATAGAAGAGTGTTTATAAGATGGGCCGAGAAGTGCGGCGCAGTCTTTGTTGGGTTGCAAGGCGGAAGTCATTCTGCGTTGTGAGATGTGGCTACGCTTCCAGAGCTCGTGCTGATGGCGGAGCTGGGACAACAATACTTGCTTTCCCTGCGAAGCTCATTGGCCCTCTCATAATTTCTCAGCTCCAAGTCCACTTGATTTCCGTACCTTGGGAGCCTTCGGTACACCTCCATTCTGTTTGCCTTCCTCCTTTGCTCCCATGCTGCGTGGGGCTTCTCCCCTACTTCGAGCAACTACGACCAGGAAAGTCAGCCAATCTCAACTCCTCTACACACGCCCATTGCTTCCACGCAGCACCTTCCGCGCCATCGCAAGCTGCCGGTGTCGCCTGTGTTTGCTGCTGTGGCAAGCGTACCGGCCGATCCGAAAGAATCATGCAATTTAGCCGAAAAAGGCACGTGAAATTTCGCAAAGGCCCCCCCAAAGAAACAGCATCCAACAGGCCGCCTCTGCTTCAGCGGCCGATGCTTGGGCCCTGGTCTCCGCCGATGCGCCACAACCCATGGCGCCGGCGATGCCCCAAGAGAAGGATCCGCTTGGGTGAAAACGGTTGAAAAGGGCAGGCCATAGACAGTAAACGAAATATGCACAAAAAACACACACCTTCATGATGTCCAAGCGCCTCATTCTACAAGAAGGCCCAAGCACCACAACCGGGTGGGTTCGACGATGTCCTGCATAGAAATCTGAAGCCAAGGAAGTTCGAACAAAAATCTCCAATCTTATAAATCTATTTAATATATATATATATATATATATATTCAGGAGAATATCCAATAGTCTAATATTTGATGATTTAACAGGCCCCTCAGATCCTAAACCCTATAGACCTTACGCCGGTCTCCACTCCTACACGCTAAACTGCCTAAACCTCCAAACCCCTCCTAACCCACCCCGAAACCCCCAAAGACCCTGAATCCCCTCAACGAAACACCGAGAATCTGGGTGTCAGGGCCTGGCCTGCGAGACGATTCTGGCTCGCTGCCACGCAGACCTCTGGGGGGGTTCAGGGGGGCCAGTTGAGGGTTTCAGTGTGGGGGAATGGTTGGGACTTGGGGCCACAAAGTGTGCATGAGCCCGGCTTTGCAACCTGCACTTTCGTAGCAGACATGTCCGGTTCCGGATTGCAGCAAGGAACCCGCTAGTTCGAGAGGTGCGGCTTTAGGTTTACTTAGGGCCAGTGTAACAATACGACATAATAAGGGCCTATTTTGCCCAGAATGTGGATGTCTTGTGTAGCTTTCTGCTCTACTTGTTTTGGGATTCTGTAGGGCCTGGCCGCGTTCTCTCACGTGGCGCGAAAGCTTCGCCTCAGGAGACGTGGCAACCTCTAGACTTAGACTTCCCAGAGGCGTACACTCCTTCAGCACTCGTCTACACAGGGCATGGAAGCTGCTTTGTCAGGAAGAAGACGGTCGCTAAGAAGGCACATCCAGAGATTGCTAAGCACCTAAACCCCGCAACCTATAGCGGGGGGGGGGGGGCGAAAAATGCAAAGCAGCCTCTGCATCGCGATGTGCACGCGTTGAAAACGGCTCTTACGTCTTTCCCACAACGTGCTGTGACCCGACAGTTCTGTCTTCTGTGCCAGTTGGGGTTTAGGGTTTCTGGGGCTTCGGGCCGGTCAGGGCTAACGAGGACAAGCAAAGCTCTGATGTAACTCTCACCACCAAGCCACGCCAGGACCCTCTCTCGTCCAGCCCAAGCGAAACATGAAACGTTGGCTGAAACTTCACGAAAAAACGCCTCAATCCTGATACATACTGATGAATGCCGAATCATCGTGGTGAACTCAGGCATGCCCATCTTGACCCTCAGCTGCCATTCGCGTCGCCAGCGCTGTACGATTTCTGTCGGGTCGTTGACAGAATAATTGGCCAGCATTTTGAGAGCCCCGATTGTCTTTGACAAAGGGCGACTCTGCGGCACATGTTGGCCTCAGCTTCTAAGCCTGAAATGACTCCATGGGCAAAGGTCTGTGTGAAAGGCTGGAGGATGCGAAGGGCAGTGGCCAGGGGAGCGTTGCATCCCTAAACCCTGGACTCCCTAGACCCTGCCCTGCGCATGGGATCACAGCAAGAGCTGTGACGATGGGCTGCCTTATAGTGGGCCTATGAAGGCCTAGGGTTTGGGAAGTAGGGTTTATAGGGCTTAAGGACTACTGGGGGATGGACTGGTAGCTATTGGTGCTCCTGAGAAGATACGCTTGAAGGACTACTGGGGGATAGACTGGTAGCTTATGTGTGCTCCTCAGAAGATACGTTTATCTACAGCTGTCTTGCGCAATGAGGTGTAATACCTTGTGTATCTGTGAGGACCCTGAAAGATCCGCGGCTTGGAGGCCATGTGCCGGTGAGGGAAAGCTCCACACGGAAGCTCTGCACGAGATTCTTCTCAAGAACTGCGGGGTTCCATCCTTGGACCCGGGGCATTCTGGGATATATGGTGTGGTAGCACAATTATGGCAAGTGGGCGTCACAAGGTTTAACCGCAGGTGCGCAAGGGGATCCCAGGTGAAACGGCAGGGGCTCGCGCATCTGCTCGCGCTCTGCAACTTGGCACCGCCCGAGACTGGCACAAACGACGATGACAGGGGTTCAGGGCATGAAGAAGGCGTAGACGGGGAAGTCCATGCCATCCAAGGCCTGCCGCTCCCAGCGGCAGCCCACCCCCAGGGGCTTGCCCGTCCGGGGGTGCACGGGCGCACGGCGCTGGTAGGTTTCGCCGGCAATGCAGATCGTGCCTTCACCCCAGCTGGCCGGCTTCCCGTGCTTGAAGACCTCCCTTGGAGCACGTTTAAGAGCCCGTCGCGTCTTCCCTCCTACGAATAGCGGGCTTGGGATTTGGGCACAGGGGGTTCCACAGGCCTTAGGATGCTTAGGGTGGAGATTTTCAAAAAAAAGTCGAGTAAGAAGGGCCCGGAGCAAGGGCAAAGCCTGTCAAGCCCTTCTACGACGAAATGCTCCGGATCAAGGCAGAATTCTTTGCCGCCGGAGGCTCTTCGGAAGACCACATCTTTCGGCATCTGCGTCCGCAAGCTCAGAGGAGCCCGCGCCGAACTTGTCCACCCAATCCTGAGCGGACGCTCGGCGCACGGGGCGACTCGGCTTGGGACCCTCCCCACCTTGGTTGTATTTCTTGTATAGTAGGCAAGCCTTCGCTCAGTTGCAGGCCAGGCGTCGCTGTCGAAAATGTTCGACACGGCCACGCAGATGACCTCACCAGCTTCATGGTGCTTGCGCACCTCCCTCAGCCAGTGGCAACACCAGCCTTCGCCGGGACTGCAACGGACCCGGTGCGAACCACCCCCTGAAAGAACTGTACCTGAAACGTATCAAGCTTCTCCTCGCAACCGCACTAAACGACTGTGCAACTCCCATAGGGGACCTCACTGTTCTGTCCGAGCAGCACGGGTACTGTTTGCCCTCTTCTGGCTCCTGAGAGGTTTGCTTCCGAGCGTGTGGATGAAAATTGCTGAGCATCTTGCCCGCCCACCCGAAAATACGACGATTGCACCGGTCTGCTTCTTCTGAGCCTCTGACGAGGGAGGTGCTCCGGGAGTCCACCGTCGACCGCCACTTGGCGTCACGGCCCTCCCTGGGCGGCACGGGCACCATGTCCCGGCCGCAGTCGCTGCTGGGGTGGCTCCACCTGCCATCGTCGGCGTCGTGTCCAAACACGGGTTCCTCGTCGAACCACACCGTCGCCGTGCCTGAACACCCTTATGACTTCCAAAATGGGACGAGTTATGGCATGACATTTTATACGCGAAAGGCAACGTGAGGCGAGGCCCCTTCTTGGCCCTGAACCGGCACGGCACACAGCCCTTCTTCAAGGCTCTCTCCGACTCACTATAGGACTTATCTGTAGACGCCCGCCACGCGTCCCCCACATGCCCCCACAGCTTTCGAAAGACGCTCAAGGGGATCCTTTGGAAGTGCGGCCGAGGGGGCTGCCGTGCCTGGCACGCTTTAGCGCCTCCATCACACAGTCGTAGGCCATGCCCCCCGGTATGGACGCGCCGGCCGTCGGGAAGAGCCGGCGCATGTTATGGAAGCCGTTGTAGGTTTTGTAAAAACTGAACACCAAACCCGTGCCGGCTGCGGCTTTGCACTGCTCCACAAAGCTCTCGTCCGCTCGGAGCTCCTCGGCCGCGAGCTCCACCAGCCACCAGGCCCTTGTGGCCTCCACCGCCTCCAGCAGGAAGCTCCGATCGGCCCGCAGCTCCTCGGACGCGAACTGGAGGGCCATGCCGTCCCCCTTCACGGCCGCCAGCACCACCTCCCGGTCATTTCGCAGCTTCTCGGACGCGAACTGGAGGGCCGCGCCGCTTCTCTCCACCGCAGCCAGCACCCCCTCCCAGTCATCCGCCGGGGCGTTGAGCAGGGTGAGGAGGCCGCCGCGCCCTCCCCGGATCTCCTCCAGGAGCCTTCGGCGGGCCTGCGGTGAGGAATGTTCTATACATCACATTTCTATACCACACATGTATATATATATATATGTATATGTATATGTATATATATATAGAAATATATGGTACCCCACCCCCCACCCCCAAAAGATCAATTTTTTTGGAAATCTTCAGTGTCTGGGCATGTATGCCTTCAGCGCCCCTTTAGGGTGAAAACAACTGAACCTTTTAGAGCCCCCTATAGGGTTGTAAGGTTCTGACCCTAAACGGTTCACGGTTGAGGTTTAAATGCCCGAACCTTAACCCTTAAGGCTTAAACTCTATGAGTTTAGGTTTAACATGCCTAGATCTCCAACCCTAAACCCTTAAACCTGAACTCTATAGTGTTTGAAGGCTGGGGTTTAGATGTCATTGCCGGCTTAGCTTTACATGCCTACACATCTTAAACCCTAAGCCTGTCAACCTTAACCCGGTGGGGCTTAAAGGTTAAGGCTTAATCAGACAGGGTCTCGGGGCTTCTCTTTAAAACCCTAAGCACTTAGGGTATAAGAGAATAAGCCTTCAAACAAAAAAACAGGGAGGGGTGGGAGGGGTGTTCAAGGGTCCTGGCTATGTTGGAGGACTCCCCCCCCTCCCACCCCCCGTTTATAAGCAAACTTAATGCTTCAAAACAAAATGTTGCGTCACAAAATCTCTTTCCAATCAAGATGGAGTACGCAGAGTACCAACTCATGCATATAAGAATGAGTACGTACATCTTTTAACCGCCTAAACCTTAAACCCTTAAGGTTTTTAAGCTCTATATGGGCTTAGGTTACAATGCCTGAATCTTAAAGCCTAAACTCCTAAACCTTTAGAAAACCTTCACCCCCCCCATAGGGTTTAAAGGTTAAGGGACGTAAGACTACAAGCATTAAGACTACAAGCATTCGCATGCGGATCTGGCGGGGGGGGGGGGGGGGGGGGGGGGCGGGGGGGCATATCTCATGATACTATAGAGATGAGACAACCAGGGATCTTATGCGGGGGGGGGGGGTAGAATGTATCTCTCTCTCTCTCTCTCTCTCTCTCTCTTTCTTTGCAACACTCAGAGTACAGGGGGCTTCTCCCGCAAGTATCTCTGCAGGGCTTTTCCGGGGATTCTCATGGATTTTCATGATTTCGAGGGAAGTCGTTGCGTGGATGGCCTTCGCAAGAGAAACACAGTATAGCTTTTCGCCCGATTCGGGGCGGGGGGGGGGGCTTCGGGATTCGTAGCTCTGAACCTCCCCTAACGCGAACGCAGGGGCTTCTGGCAGCTTCTGTAGGGTTTCCGGAGGGCTTGCCCTACTTCGGGCTATTTCGGGGAGGCTTCGAAAGTCAAAAGCGGAGCCTCCTCGCCGGCCGGTGCAGAAGCTTCAGAAGCTTTGGGACTCCCCCGCCTGGCGCCTCACGAAGAAGACCCAAACACAAGATGAGAGGATAATATATGAGTGTTGATAAGAGGGCCCGAGAAGTGTGGCACTGAAACCTTCAAAGGGCACATCTTCTCTGCCTCGAACATGTCTTGGCGCTTCGAGGTCACAAGGCCAGGGACAACAAAACTTGCTTTCCCTGCGAAGCTCATGGCATCTCTCAACACTAACCCCACTTGATGTCCGTGCTTAAGGAGCCTTCCGTACACCTCCATTCTGTTTGCCTTCCTCCGTTGCTCCCATGCTGCGTGGGGCTTCTCCCCCACTTCGAGCAACTACCCTCTCGAAAGTCGTCTCAACTCCTGAGCACAAGCCTATGAAAGCACGCAGCACCTTCCGCGCCAGCATCCCAAGCTGCCGGCCTCACCTGTGGTTGCTGCTGTGGGCATTAGATCTCTGCAAGCGTACCGGCCCATCCGAAAAACATCATGGAACGGGAAAAGCACGTGAAACCCCCTGCAAAGCCCCCCCAAAACAGCATCCAACAGGCCGCCTCTGCTTCAGCGGCCGGTGTTTGGGCCCTGGTCTCCGTCACCGCTGGGCCTGTCATCGGGCTGGTTTCCCGAAGCGGTGCTCCCAAAGAGGCTGACAGGTTGCAGCTTTGCTCATTCTCCCCACCCCTCAAGGAAGCCCCGACGTGCATCGCTGCCTCCAGTCGCCTCATCCACCTGGCATTGCCAGGGCGAGCAAGCGTAGGTATGCGAAGGCATGCGATTCTGCGTGAAGACGGAAGTTGGAGGATGCAGCATCAAGCAGGGGTCGCCATCCGCAACCCGGACCCCGAAAACAGGACTCAAGGGCTTCACGACTGCACCACAGCTCCCCCACCCCACACAGCACGAGTGGGTACCCTTTGACCCGCAGAGATGGCTGAATGGGTGGCATCGACAACACCACCTAAGTACCTGGTGTACAGAGCTATGTGTCTTTCTTGAATTCGTCCGATGAGATCCGATGCGTATGAAGTCAGTCAGGCCCTTAAGCCTTAAACTTACCGTGTTAAGGTTCCCCCACGCGTGCAGAATTTGTCTGAACTCGTGGCCTCCGATTCGCAAGCTTGCAAAAGGTTTGAACCTCCACATGCCGCAAGGAGGGTTTAGGCTTTATGGGGTTTGGGGCTTCCTTTCGGGGCTACAGACCCCCAGACCCCCAGACCCGAGCTCCCGAAACCCAGAGAATCAAAAGGAGAAACGCCGCACTCAGCCGCCTTCTCCGGATTCGATGCGCAACAGCCCATGGCGCCGACGATGCCCCAAGAATCCAAGAAGCATCAGCTTGGGCGAAACCGGCTCAGAACGGGCCGGCTTTGGGGTGGAGAGCGTAGAGGTTTAGGGTTTAGGGTTTAGGATTTAGGGTTTAGGGTGTATGTGTGGAGTGAGAAGACCTCAACTTGGGGTTGGGGGCACAAGGCAGGCTCGAGCTTGTTCTGAGCCTAGGGGCGCCCCCCAAAAACCCCCCAAGCCCCGAAATCCACTTGGTACCAGGGGAGAACTCGGCAAACCCAAGTGGCCTGCAACGAAATTGCACCAAACCCTAAACCCTAAACCCTAAACCCTAAACCCTAAACCCTAAACCCTAAACCTTAAGAATCAACCTCTAAGAGGCTGGCTTTCTGCAAGCGCGCCCATCCTACCGATAGACCCGGGCTCGACGATGTCCTGCGTAGAAGCCTGAATCCGAAGCCATGGGAAGCTCCAAGCACTCCATGGCCCCTTGGATCCTAAACCCTAAGCCGTATGCCGTTCTCCCCACAACCCTACACCCCCAAAACCCAAACCCCATAAACCCCATAAACCCCCTAACCCAGCCCTAAACGCCCCCTTCTGGACCCCGAATCCCGTTCTCTGCAAATTTGAACTAGGAAACTCTGGGTGCCAGACGGGGATGGCCAGGCCTCTGACTTGCTGCTGGTTTGCAGTCTGCACTTAGGAGGCATGTCCGGCTCGTCCTAGTCTAGGGCTTTGGGGTCTGCAAGTTTAGAGGCTTTGGGCTTTTTGGGGCTTGGGATGTACGCCAAAATGCCGATTTAAGCGCTTGGTCTGCACGGATCCCTGGCAAAAGCTACCTCCTCTTCCAGGGCCCCTCACAAGCAGATTGCGGCATGCCAGGCGCCAAACACTCTTAAGGTGCAACTCGGAGAGTAGCAGCCCTAAACCCTATGCCGAAAGGAACTTGAAACCTTGAGCAAGGGAAAAAAAAGCCCCCAGCACCGCAGCGGCAGCAACAGTCCCTGGAGACCCTCCGGAACCCTGGCCTTCTGAATGCGAAGCTACTTTTCCTCGGCGCTTTTTCGGGATTCAGGGGCCGGGAGTTTGTGGGCTTTTGGCTTCAGGGTGTTTAGGGTCCGCTCTTGCATCTAAGGGGACGGGTCGTTTTTGCTTAGCACTTACAAGTCCTTTAGCTCA